TCCTAATTATAAGAGTTAGTTAACTAATTTGAAGATATTGAAAAAATAAATTAAGTTATTTGTAATAAATATGTATTGTTTTTCCTAAAATATCCTTCCTAATCAAATGTATTGGTTATAACTACTATTATTAGAAGGAATGCCTTAAAAAAAAATATAAATATTAGAGACAAAATAGATTAGTGTCTTATATTTAGGGTCAAAATAAAAGTCAAACGATGTCTTATACTAAACATCGGTTAAAATGTATTAAAAATATGAAAAGGCCGAGAAGAAGAAGAAGAACTCTCCTCCGATCCCTCCCGCGCCTCAGCAACAACATGCTGAACCACCGATAATCACCGAAGAATAAGAAGTTGTTAGCCAATTCCGGAAAGCACAATACCAGATCAGATTTAAGACACAAAATAAATAAATAAAGAAGCTCAAGGTGCTAGAATGGAGGTGCCATGTAAGGGAAGCCTGATGTTCGAGGGACCTGGACTTGTGATAGAGGTGATGGAAACAAGCTTGTGATGGAATTGAGAAGCTCGGCGGCGGACTTCGATCGTCCTCGCGATGGGCGGTGGTTGTCTCGTTCATGGTGAGTCGTGGTCGTTTCCCTCTCAGTGTAGGTGGTTGTCGAGAAGCTAGAGCAAAAGGGGGCGCCGCCGGCCATGATTCGCGGTCGGTGGCGGTCAGTCCTCTTAGTAAGTAGTGGTGGTTGGCCCCGATGGGTGCTGGTCATCATTGCTGGGTCTGGACTTTGGAGGGAGGGCTTGAGTGAGAAGGTAGCCTGTGGACGCAAGGAAAGCCAATCAAGAGTCAGGATTCCCAAAAAAGGTTGTGATCGATGGAATGGGATTCGGGAAGTCGGAACGAATACCACCAAATGCCGGGCGTCTCTCTTTCTCTCGAAGCCCATCCGTGTGAACTGTTCTTTTTTTTCTTTTTCTTTTCTGGCCTTGAAGTGAACTGTTCAGAGCTTCCGCTGCGACAGGTTGTAAAACTACTAGAAATCCCACAGCATGAAGCAAATAGTGTTCAATACAAATAACATGCCAACGTATTTTTATTCTGTTCATCTGCAACATGGTTAGCTGTGATGCCAAAAATACCTTCCCCTTCCCCTGTATTTATAAGTTTTAAATTTGAAAAGTTTTGTGATTTATTTTATAAATTTCAATTTATATTTATCTTAATATTTAATGTGTATTTTTTAATGTTGTCTTTAATTATTTTTTCCTCATATTCTTTATATATATATTTTTATACTTTTTCTCATTTATTATAAGGACATATTTAAAGATAAAAATAAATTTTAACCTATTTATTATTTTTAATTAATTATTTGTTATTCATGAATTAATTATTTAAAATTTATAATAAAGATGGAAGAAGAATTAACATTGTACGGCAATAGAATGCCAAGTTGCCAACATGTACCTTTTTTTGGGCTGTAGTTTATGAAGGGAAGGCATTTCAATTATTTATTTCCTTTCTCCATCAGTTTCTCACAACCGAACAGTATATAAGCCGGACAGATGATATTCACTGTGATGTGATCCTCTGTCTCTCCTCAGTCCTAACACCGTCACTATATTTAAAAGTTGTAATAAATCACTTTGCACTCAACACTCGCGAGATGTGATCGGTACGTTGTGTATTTCATAGCCATCCCTTAAATTCATTGTCCTTTTCATTCGTGTTTTATTATTGTAAAATTGTTGGGGTGTGTTTGTTTCTGCGCTGGTCTAAACGACAACAGAAAAGCATTTCTTCAAGAACTGTTGAAAATTGCCGCCAGACTCCTTAAACGCACTTACTACTCATTATAGGACGTTTCTTTAGACTCGTGTTTACAAAACTGAAATTTTCACAAGTTATTATGCAAACTAAAGTTGAGATAAAAATTACTTGCTATAATAGAATTTGTGTTTGGATGATTTCTTCTTTTTTTTAACAAAAAAAAAAGACAATCATTTTTACCAACTGAAGCTTGTATCATGACTAAAAAATTTGTTTTATCACACAAACACATGGATATAGTTTCGTAAATAATTATTCGTTTTGGCCAAAAAATAATTATTCGTAGATACTGATAAAGACCTGAGATTTATTATATATGATTATGTAATCAGATGTGTATTTAATAAATAAACAAGCTTGCAAATGGGATGGCAGACTAGAGGGCTATGCTTGAATTAGAGCCCGGGCTCCCAAAACCAGGAGGAGTTGTTTTTTTAAGTTTTTTTTTTGTTACATATCTTTTTAAGTGTTTGGATGAACTAAAATGGCTTGGGTCCCTGAACTTCGGTGAGTAAAACCTATATTTCTCCACTTATGAGCTGCATTTATGTTTTCTTGTTTAGCGCATTTACTACATTTTAAATATACTGTTTAAATAAGTTTTAATTTATCAAAGAGATCTTTGTTAACAAAAGTATCTGAGTGATGAATATAAATCTCATGACAGTAATTGACTTTGATCCAAATCTCAGGCTACAAATTTCATTTTTGCATATTAATCCAAGCAAACACTTAATCATTCGTAAATAATTTTGATAACATTTTTTTTATTTCTCATGAAAAACATTGTTTCCCTTTCCATATTATATTCCTTTGAGAGGGCCCACGTGAAGATTCTTCATCCTTAAAGATCGTAACATATTTTAGAAACGTAAATCTATTATCTTTATTCCTTATTTTCTTCCAATGGCTTTAGGGAAGAATCAAGGAGCAGCACTCTTTATATTCCCCCAGAGTACATATATCAAGCAATTCACATACTCTACCAACAACCGAAAACGGCCGGCTAATCCGGCAAGAACATTAGAAACCAATCTTTTAAAAATAAAAAAAAACTGAAATCAACATAGTGGGTGCCAAACTGTTAAAAGAATGGGAGAATTTCACTGTAGGACCGCAGAAGATAATTAATCTCAAAGAGCCCCCAAAACTTTCTGAAACCTCACTGCAGGATCAAGGGGCCAATCTGATATTAATTCCACAAATGAAATGACGCCACTGTCCCTAGTAGAAACTTATTTTCTTGAGGGAACAAGTGCGGGAGAACGCATTTGCAAGGGGAACTAGCCAATTTGCAGAATAAATACATATATTCACACGTGGAATCAGTCCGTTTACATGTGGACTGGCTCACCTGATGCATGCGTCCATGAGGGAACAAGTGCGGGGGAGCGCATTTGTAAGGGGAACTAGCTAATTTGCAGAAGAAATACATTTATTCACACGTGGAATCAGTCTGTTCACATGTGGACTGGTTCAGCTGAAGCATGGGTCCGTGAGGGAACAAGTGCGGGAGAGCGCATTTGCAAGGGGAACTAGCCAATTTACAGAATAAATACATATATTCGCACGTGAAATCAGTCCGTTCACATGTGGACTGGTTCACCTGAATCATGTGTCCGTGAGGAAACAAGTGCGGGGAGATCGCATTTGCAAGGGGAACTAGCCAATTAGCAGAAGAAATACATATATTCACATGTGAAATCAGTCCGTTCACATGTGGACTGGTTCACCTGATGCTAAGGGTAGTGGCGTCATTTCGCTTGTGGAATTAATATCAGATTGGTCCCTTGGTCCTGGAGTGAGGTTTCAGAAAGTTTTGGGGGCTCTTTGAGATTAATTATCTTGTGCGGTCTTACAGTGAAATTTTCCCTAAAAGAATCCCCTAGACGTGGAAAGCGTAGATTAGTAGGAAACAATGATGGTGCCTTTCAGCAGGAGAAAGCAGCGTATTTGCATCGTAAAGTTTGCCCAAATGAATGCCACAAAGCTTAAGCTATGGACGACAATTTTCTAACTGACTTTTTTTGTCGTTTCGCTCGACCTTCGGTGATGCCTCAATCACACCCCGACTCCACACTCTGACACACTCTGCAACCAAGGCTGCCCCCAAGGGTCAAAACCCTAAAACTCAACCCACCACTTCTATTTCCAATCCGATCAAGATCTATATTTGGTCTAATCACAACCCAAGTTTCAATTAGAATCCTGCGAAGCTAAACGTCATCTCCTGAATCACTTCAAAAAAGGAAGTATTTTTATACTCTTCTTCTCGTACACTAATTTGGTACATTGCAGAATTACTCCCAAAAAATTAATCTAAACGCCTCGACACCCACAAAACAATAGCGTTTCGTTATGATTCTTGAGTAAAATATTATATCCACTTTTTTTTTGGGTCGACTTTACTGAATTGTTACTATTTAAGAAACAGAAGTCCGCGTTGCAAGACACATGGTTTATTAATGATTTATATATATGACGAGCTTTTTATTGGCATATATTTGATCATATATAGGACGATTGCTTAAATCTGACTGATTCTTCTATAAGAATAGTATAAGGATGGGGGGACCTCCACCCTCCTCTTTAACCGGATACTTCGTGCTTTTCAAGGCAGATAAATTCTTCCATAACAAAACAAAATATCCCATTCAGAAATTTCATAAATTTTCTAGATATTCTCCCAGGGGCAATCCGCCCCTGTTCAATATCATCTATCTGCATACTTTTTATTGGTTTCTTCTTTCGTTTGCACAGTTACTGACTCCGCCTGTGAGTTCATCCACTACATGCTTCGCTCTCCAACAAGAGATGATAAAACCAAACCAAAAAAAACAAAAACAAAAAGCAACCCCGAAGGGGAAAAAAGCTGGTTTTCAAAAAAATTTGCATCAGAAAGTGGTAAAAAAAAGGGGCAGAGACCGGCCTGGAATAGAAGCAGAGCATAAAAAAACAGGAATGGAGCACTTTAGTACTTTTAAAGGGAAAGAGTTGTAGGTCCACAACCAAATCCCCAAAAAAATACATAACTGAGTTTTGCAGTGCAAGTATCAAAAACTTGTAGTCTGCGCCGAGAATGATGATGATGATCTAGGTCAAGTAGTACAAATGAAAAAAGAAAGAAAAAGAGAATGGTTAGCCACTAATTCACCCAACTCTAGAGACATAGCCAGACAGTTGGTGAAAACATAAATTATAGTCAGCCATGATTGTACCATCAAAAGCATTGATCTAACAATAAAGACAATGAGATGTTCCTTACCTACAATAAAAATAATTAACTTTACCCAATTGCATAATACAACTAAGCATAGCAAGATCAGTGAGCAAAATTTACGCATCAGAAACCACGCTTAGTTCATCTTCTTCTGCCGGAGCTGGCAGGTTGAGATCTATAGAACATTTAGCAGAGTTCATAGCAGTGGACGACGAAGATGGTAGGAGGTGGGATCTCTTGTGGCCACCCAGAGCTTGTCCCGACCCAAAGACTTTGTAACAGAATGGGCATTCGAAAATTTTATCGTTACCTGCAATTTTGTTCTCTGCTTCTTCTGGAAAGTAGGTGCTCTTGTGAGTGTCCAATGCTCGGGAAGATCGACAAGTTTTCTTAGCGTTATTAGATTGATGCTTCCTCTTCAACTTGATCTCTTCAGGCCCCTTGGATCTCTCAACTTGATCTTGTTCCTTGACGTTTCTCATCCATCTGTCCCTCGAAAGCATCATGAGGCACATGGCAACATCTTCATCCGGCGAAGTATCAGAAACGGAGCTTACCGGTTCCGGCTCCGTCGGTGACTCCGTCAAATTTGACTTGGCCCTGGTCACTTCAAATTTCTGACTAGCCCCGACGATGGACTTTCGGTTTCGCTTGGATCGCCGGCGAGTCGGATTCTTTGACTCGGTCTCGCTTTCTCTGTCCTGGACGACGGAGCCAGCATCAACCGCAAAAGAGAACTCAGGATCTGCGAACCTGAAATTTTTCCTGGGATTCTCTCTCAAACCATAACTCAAAGCCTTGTCGTCGGAATCTCTGTAACCAGGCGCTACTTCTATTTGTTCTTCGTCGTCGTCGTCGTCGGAAGAGGAATAAGAGAAGGAAAGCGTAGAGGGAGTGATCAGAGGGTGGGGCTTGGGAGGAAGAGGAAGAGAGGTCAAGTGAGCCTTCATGTGACCACCTAACGCTCTGCCATTGGCGAACGCTCGAGAGCAAAGCTTGCATTTGTGCCTCTCCATTGGAACCACCAGAGAGAGCTCTGGAGAGAAAGCAACAGGTTGAAAAGCTTTTACTCACGAGTTTAGGGGAATTGAGAACTCAAAAAAGGAGTAGGTGACAAGCATTCCTCCACTGAAAAATAAAAATTAAAAAATTATTATTATTATTTTTTAAGGTGAGTTAAATAAACAACAACAACAACAAAAGAAAATACAGTTGTAAAATGTCAAAACACATTATAACATCGTCAATTCATTATTCGGCTCCAGACACTGAGAAAAGCGTGAGTGTGTGTGTCCCTCCTCAGCCACCCTACCCAGCCTTATGTAGTAACATGCAAACCTTGCCTAAATGGAATCGAATCGTTTCCCACTGCTTTCCCACGCTTTCATACCATTCAAAAGAAAATTCCACAAATATCTTCTCCTGATTTAAAATTCCTGAATTATATTACCTCTGATTTTAATTATAAGACTTCATTTATAAACTATAAACGATATTTTATAATTAAGACCGAAAACAAAATCTTATAATTATGACCGAAAGTAATATTAGTTAACATGTGGCTTGACAAAACTGATTGGAAAGATGAGTGGAAAACATATGTCAAAAAAATTTTACCATACAAAGAGGCCTGAATCTACAAATCTTCTTCAATTGCCACAATATATCTTTGACCACTATAAAAATTTTTACACATGACTAAAAATAAATTACACGCAGTAAAAAAAAAGTTGCATATATTGAAGATGAGTTGCACCAGATCTCTTTAGCCAATATAAATTTTTAATCAAATTTCCTAAAATTATTAAATAATAAATGTTAACAAATCCCCAGATATATTTTGGCGTGGAAAGTGGATGGATGTTTTGGTTGTGACATGAAACCCCTGATCTCGAATCATTGATGGCTCCATTAAATTCTGAATGCGCAGCGTAACGAAGATTACTATAACTAGAGGTTGGACACAATCCCACGCTATAAAAGAAAAATGGACGAGAATTATGAATTTCCTCATTTCATGACCTCTCGTGACATTTTTTTTTTCAAAAGAAAAATGCATAATATTAATTTCCTAGCAATTATAGAACGCAAAAACAAAATCAAAACGGAACCGCATCATGCTTACCAGATCGGTATTTAATTTCAACACAATTTCGATGAGTGTACCCGCAAATACACATATAATTGGAAAACAAAAATAACATGCGAAAATAGAACAAGGGTGCTAGCTAAAAATAAAGAAGAAGGAATAACAAAAATATAAAAATAGGGAAGCATACAACTTTGGGTGTGTAAACTATTGCAGCGAAAGAGAATCTGGCCTTAAAAATTGGATAGCACGCGTAACTTGGTTAGCCATGATGATAAGTTGGCCGGTGGTTTTTCTTTCAGTGTCTAAATAAATATTATATTAAATAAAATGTTGAAAAGATATAGTACTGTACTAATGGTAGTATTAATGTTGTGTGGCCTGTGATGCCACTAAACATTACTCTCTCCGTTCCTTCTTTATTATAAAAGACAAATAATTAAATCATGTTAATAAAAGAAACAGTTAAAATTAGTTGATGACAATTAATGTATAAAAAGTATAATATTTTTTCTAACAATGCCCTCATTAATAAGGAGACAGTATGAGAGAACAATTAAATTATTAAAAGAAAGAGAAGTGGGAGGGAGGGAGAGTATGAGTTGGAGACAAAATAAATAGGGATAAAATAGAAAATCAATAAAAAAAAATAGAAACAGTTTTTATGTGTCTCTTATATATAAGAACATGTCATAAGAATTAAATGTTTCTTATAATAAAGAACGGAGGGAGTAACAATATGGCGAGAAAAACGAAAATCACAGATCAGCAATACGGTTGGTCTTGATATTTATTAGAATTAGTTATTATAAAAGTTATAACGCCGCAACCCCTATTAATGAGCGCGCGGTGCTTGTCCTTTTACTCATTACAAAAAGTAAAATTGCATCCCCTGGCCTGCAAGGCAATTTTATAAAATAAAATAGAAAAGTTATATATAGCTTTTTTTTATTTTTTTGGTTTGGCGAGGAAATTTAGGAATTGCGTGATTAAGATTTAATAACTGGTGGGATGTATAGTTGACTATTGAAAAGAATGGGGGGGGGGGGGGTTCGCAATCTGGCGACTGGGGTCATGTCAGCGGCAACGTGATCGCTTGCTTCCACCGCTCACTTCTTTTGTTTCTCTTTACGCAATTCCTACTGTTAATTACTCCTTCCGTTTCTTATTATAAGAGACAAATAACTGAATTACGTTAATAAAAAAACAGTTAAAATTAATTAAGAACAATCAATTTGTAAAAAATATAATTTTTTTCCAAAAATACCCTCATTAATAAGGAGAGAGAGCATGAGAGAAAACAATTAAATTATTAAAAGAAAGAGAAGTAGGAGGGAGAGAGAGTGTGAGTTGGAGACAATAAATATGGGTAAAATAGGAAATCAACACAAAAAAGTAGAGACAACTTTTAAGTGTCTCTTATATATAGGAACATGCTATAAACATCAAATATCTCTTATAATAAAGAACAGAGGGAGTATAATAAAAACAGCTTCCTTTTATCCCTTGTTTGCTTCTAAGTTCTTCAGGATGTTATCTTTTTTTTATATTTAAAAAAAAAAAATGAAGGAACCTCAAAAGATGCTCTGCTCACAAAATAAATGCCCCTTACAGCCGGGAGGAAATGAGGAATTTGGTTGCGTGTCTGTGCGCATAAAATACCATCTCCACTCTTTAATATAAAAACTAATTTGATTTGTAATTTAATTTTAAATATAAAATTTTAATTCATTTTATCTCTCATTTTTATCTATTTTTTAAATAATTATTCTAATAGTTACATATGTTAAAAGTTTCATTAAATAATAGTTGTAGCTAATATATGTGATTAGTAAAGATAGTTTTTAAAAAAATAATATTTACTTATTACAAATAACTGAGTTAATAAATTTTTTTAATTTATTCAAATTAGTCAATTAGCTCTTATAGTAAGAAGCGAAGGTAGTATATTTCTTCCTTTTAAGTTCAATTACTGTTGCAGTAGTGGGGTTTATCAATTTCTTTTCCAGAATGAACTTTTTCACATTTTTATGTTAATTTTTTTCATTTTTTAAAAAATAAAGTATGTTTGACGGTGACTATTGACGTTTTAAAAATTTTTTGTTAATCATATTTTTACAATATTACAAATTAGTTTTAAATTGTTTGCATGAGTAATAGACCAATAGGTTTATAAATAAATTAAGGTGTTTATATTTTTTAGCATGAACAAGAGAAAAAAATGTTAAACAAAAAATAATAGGTTGCATTACAACAACTTTTCATGCATTATTCGATGAGTAACAAATTTTGAAATAAAATATATATGAAGGTTATATTAAATTGTTAAATTGTAGAGTAATAAAATAGTAAGTTGAGTAAAAGAGGAAATAGAATTTTAAATAAAATATGTATGGGTAGCGAGAAACATTTACATTGATTGTATTAGTTATGATTTATAAATATCGTGATTTATTGCGAATTTTATTTGATTTATTGATTGTCATTGAAACGATGCTATGTTAAAATTTTAAGAATTATATCTTGTGAATTAACTTTGTTTCAACATTCTTGAACAAAAATGTAAAGCATGAGTATTATTTTGTTTGCAAAAAAAAAAACTATAAACAAAAGAAATTATGAGTAAGAATCGACAAGAATACAAAACATATCATCTATTTCTCAACTTTGGTACTGTTCTGTGTTTCATCTCTGCTTCCTAAAATATATTACAATTGCGGAGTGATGATAGCCATATATAATAAGCAATATAATATACGTGTAACCCGTTAAAAGCTGTTGCTGTTTAAAAAAATAAAAGAATACAAAATAATTAAATGATTCGTTTGTTATTATATGGGAACCATTTGTTTTTATGTCATATACTATATCTATAATCTTTAATATAAAAATTAGTTAACTAATTTAAGTATATTAAAAAAATTTATTAAATTAGTTATTTGTAACGTTTTTCATAGAATACTCATTGTTAATTATCTATATTAGTTAGAACTATCATTTAATATAATATTTAATATGTGTAACTACTATAAAGACTGTTTAAAAAATGATTAAATATAAGAAACAAAGTGAATTATGATTTTATATTTATAACCAAATTGAAAGGTAAACTAATTTTTATCTTAAAGATAGGAAATAGTGTTAGAATGTTGCGTCGCCCATCATATACCAAACATGGTCCAGATTAGGGATGTAATTATCATCCTATTACACAACATGTGGAATGATGTGGTTAAGACTGTAACATGCCAAAATTCTCAGTTACTGTAAACTACTCCTCCGGTCCTTAATATAGAACCCAATTGTTAAGTTGGTTTTGGTCCTAAATATAAAACTCATTTCTCATATTTATCAATTTTCTCTAAATCACCCTTATGGATACTCTCTCAACCATAATCAAGTAGAAGAGAGAGGGGTATTAAAAAAGATGATTATGGTATTTTAAAAAAAACGTGTCACATTTATTATAATTAACTAACTTACCTAACTTCCTTAATTTAACCAAATTAGTTAAATGGGTCTTATATTAAGGACTGGAGGAGTAATAAATTAAAAGACACTATTTAATATTTATTTCACCAGCTTCTATCCATTAACAATAATAATAAGTTAATTCAACTGGTAAGTATCACTTGATTTAAATCACACTATTAATGTCACAATATTACTGATGAATAATTTGTATGGGGGATTTCCGCTGCAAAAAAAATTACCGAATTTTTTTGGGGGTAGGGAAAAAAGCAGACAAGCAGTATTAAAGTCTCATCCAACATGTGGATTTCATAAAGGGAGAAGATATCATTACATGTTTATCTCTCTCCTTACTCTAAATAAAGTAATTTTAGGAGATCTAAACGGATAAACACGCAAAAAAAGTTTTTATTCTTATTGGAGCATTAATTACTTCTTATCTTTAATATAAGATTTAATTAACTAATTTAAAGATATTAAAAAAATTAGTTAAATTAATTAATTGTAATAAATAAATATTGTCTTTCAGTCTTTCTTAAGATGTTATTATTAATCACGTGTGTTTGAATTATAAATTG